ATTTTCATTTATATAGTGCTCTGTGAACACAAATTCGTTAGCATAAATCAGTTAAATGACAAAAAATTAGGTGTCTATTTACTTGTGACCACTCAGTGTATATATAGTGTGTTTGTCTGCCCATGCTCTAATGTACATATAGTGTGTTATTTTGTGTTTGTTTACCCATGCTCTAATGTACATATAGTGTATTATTTTGTGTTTGTCTACCCATGCTCTAATGTACATATAGTGTATTATTTTGTGTGTTTGTCTACCCAGGCTCTAATGTTCATATACTGTATTATTTTGTGTGAATCTTATATATTTGTCACGGACCAAATATATGCTATATTCAGACAACATAAATTGGAGTTAAATTCTGTACACTGTCGGTTTATATTCGAGAAACGAAATATACCGTGCCCTCAACGTGACAAATATGTTTTAAGAAAGCTTCCGAAGGACAGAATGAGTCCATTTTTATGGTTAGTTCTTTCAAGCATTAATAGAACCAGTTTCAATTGTCTGATGACGGTTTTAAAAATGAGTACAAGGTCATCAACTGAAAGAATCATATCAGTCATCTTAGCTCGTCAGAGAATGTAGAACAGGTTTCATCTATAAGTCAAGTAACGACTTGATACATACAGTCATCTTAGCTCGTCAGAGAATGTAGAACAGGTTTCATCTACAAGTCAAGTAACGACTTGATACATACAGTCATCTCAGTTCGTCAGAGAATGTAGAACAGGTTTCATCTACAAGTCAAGTAACGACTTGATACATACAGTCATCTTAGTTCGTTAGAGAATGTAGAACAGGTTTCATCTACAAGTCAGGTAACGACTTGATACATACAGTCATCTTAGTTCGTTAGAGAATGTAGAACAGGTTTCATCTACAAGTCAAATAACGACTTGATACATACAGTCATCTCAGTTCGTTAGATAATGTAGAACAGGTTTCATCTACAAGTCAAGTAACGACTTGATACATACAGTCATCTCAGTTCGTTAGAGAATGTAGAACAGGTTTCATCTACAAGTCAGGTAACGACTTGATACATACAGTCATCTCAGTTCGTCAGAGAATATAGAACAGGTTTCATCTACAAGTCAGGTAACGACTTGATACATACAGTCATCTCAGTTCGTTAGATAATGTAGAACAGGTTTCATCTACAAGTCAGATAGGTAACGATTTAATACATACAGTCATTTTGAAGACAAATGTTTCGGAAAGATTCGTTTCGATGTTTTTCCCGCCAAGTGAACCTTTTATTCCCATAAAGCATTACTTTAATATAAACGAGTAAGATGAGAAATCAAGGCAATAGAAAATTTCTCTGTTTGGGAGAAAATTATTAGTTGGGTGTTGGGATCACTGTTTTGATAACCCGAGTTGAGTAATGTGGAGACATGTTTTGATAAAGGCTGATGATTCAAGCTGGATACATTTTACTTTGATTAATCTGGATAATTTACACTTATGATTTTTTTTAAACTAGTTATTTTAAGGTTTATATCCTCTGATAATTTCACTGCTCCAAAGAGGGTAAAAAAGGTATCTATGAAATAAAACCAGAATTGTCTCGGCTATTGTTGTTCTTTGTTTGCTTCTTATCGGACTTGAACCAAGAAGGAACCAGCGATTGGAAGAAGGTTAAATATATCTAAATTATCAAAATTTAATTTGCAACAATGTGTTTCCCAACTCCAACGTAGCACTACACACCAGCCTTGAGATTATTGTATTTGATTTATTAGCATTTTGTTAAGCTTAGTAAATAACGTCGTGCAAAAATTGCACCAATACAAACACCAAAGCTTTAATTTAAAAGACGAGAGAGAGAGACGTACACGCGATGCTTTAAGTTTATACAAGATAGCAAGGAGTTCGATATTTACAAGAGTTGCTGAATATCTGTACCTTACGAACCAATTAATTTTGACTCCTCTTTTGTCTTTCCTAAAATTTTATCTAAATAATGGGGCCAATATGATAGCGAAGAAACTTCACACCGTGCTTATCTTTCCATCAGGAAATTCCACAAAGTGATGATACAGACACCTGGTTAAAGTTAAGGCACCGTGTCTTCTTCAAGCATTAAATGGAACTTTGGCTTCTTAAAAAATAGAAATGGTAAGTAGCAGAAGATTCTTGGAATAACATAAATCGTTTCTTCTATAATACCCAAACCCCTGTAAGCAGTCGGAATTAGCTGTATTGTATTTGTCTTCAACCTGATGAAGAGGCTTTGATACTCATACCCATTTATAAAGATAGAAATTTAACCAGAGTTTCGTAAAGGAGTTTAGGATGGACGTCCGCTTCTGCTGTGTACTGCACCCCACGGATAACTCCGTTTCCACGGTGAATGCCTAGTTCCCCAACGATTAACCCTTCAGGTGTTTTCTCCTCATGCCGAAATCTTCGCAAACGACCATCATCGATGCTATAACGTACGTTGTAGCTCTTTTCATCAGGCGAGGAATTCGCTCCTTCCTCATCAATTAAGCCTTTGAGGAGTTTTTCTGCGATTCCGTTAACCTTGACGTCTTTGCTGACTTCAAGTTCCAGAAGCTCTGGCGAAGGTACAGCCTTTTCAGTCTGAGGATCCAACACATCTGGCGAAAACTGAACCTCTGTAATATCAAGTTCAACGAGTTCCGGAGAAGAATGAACCTCTGTAATATGTTCCTCTTGCTCCGTCTTGGGGGTAATTATTTGAGCTTTTACATCCCTAGCGTAAGAGGGCGCTGTCTTTTGATCCAGATCCGTTACATCCTCACCTGGCGGAAATTTTATGGGCGCAGAATATACAGATGTGACAATAGTGACGACAAGTGTGAACTGGAAGAGATGCATCTGCAGATTGAAGGAAAAAAAAGAAAGGATAAAAATTAACTTGAAACATTTCAAAATCAGTTCCATAATGAGAACAGTTAAAATAAAGAACATAGTTATTTATTGTTAAAATATATTAATACATTAGAGTATAGTCATTCTACTTTTGATATTATAGACAAAATAAATATTGATATTTACTATAGAAGAAAGTCTTAACATGGTATAGCCAACCCGAACGGAAACCCTAGGCCTCGTGTATAGCTATCTCTAATTTTGAATTACTAACCAGAAGAAAAGCAGCAGGTCAGCTATACCCGCTGCCAAAGAACTTCATTCGGCTTTGAATCGAATAACAGGATTGACTATCACGCTTATAACGCCCCTGCAGTAAAAGCGTGTTCATCGGCATTGTGACGCGAATCTTGCATCTTACAATACGCAGCCCGGAACACTAAATACCATACCATGTCCGAACACTCAGAAGGAGAAGTCCATTACAAATCCCACCACTTCATTGCATTGTTTTCATTCTGTTGGGTCAGCGGTAAGTTTACGAATTTACAACGCTAGAATCCGGGGTTCCGTTCCCGGTGATGGACAAAGCGCAGATAGCCTATAGTGTAACTTTGTGCTAAAACAAACAAACGATCATCTGTTCCTTTTCTACAGTACTGTAAGTAAAAGTTCATTAGCATTTTCTTGGTTGTTCAATCTTGACTTCTTTTGGAGAATAAAAAGTAGCTCGTAGCATAGCTTTAAACTATTTAGTTTCTTTAAACTATCACACTCTGTAGGGCAAATATGAACTAGTTTAACTCCACAGCGATACTCTAAACTTGTGTTTGCAACATAAGGGCGTATTCCAAACGGTGTACTTATAAAATCTGGAGCAGAACGTTTTGTATTTAACGGAGGAAACTTCAAGGTCTACCTCTAACGTGACCTTCAGAGTCAGTGTCGTGAGATCCTAGGTAACAGCCTCTTATCAACTTTAAAAAATTGAGTTAAAGAGGGGTTACAAATGTCGGATTATGAGGGATATATTATAAAAACTTCGGAAATAAATAAAATTCATTTGACATATTAATTTCTAGGGTCACATTATTTAAATGCGTTAGTCTCTGGTAATGAAATTTTAAAGCTAGTTCAACATCTTGTTTAATGCAAGAATTTGGAAATTTAAACTTAAATTAAACAGAATAATTTGTAATTATTATATCATAGACTTTTTTTTCAGCAAGGTAAAATTGAAAATATAATCTATGACGTAGAGGCCTAATAAATTCCTTAATTCGCTGCTCCCTCTAGTGTAGATTGCAGTTTCGCCAATTCAAGGCTCATCAACACGGCTTGGGTCTGCAAACCAAAGACAGTTAGGCCTAATGGGGGAGAAAATTAGAGAGTCTAGTTGCAAATAAAGAAGTCACATTCATTAAAGTATTACCTCTCTATTGCACGCATTATGAAAATAAGGTGGATTTCGTTGAATTTTATACTTAAGTAAGTATATATTATACAAAAAAAAATATGTTTGTGACATATATTTTGATAAATTATAAATGAGTACGTTACATAGAACGTAGAAAATATAACTGCTCAATTGAGGAAACAAAGAACTTCGATTCCATGGTTTATTTCAACCGTTATCTGAAAGTAACAGTTTTAAACTACTGAAATTAAATATTTGTATGTGTATTACTATTAGACATACATTTGTTACCGTACGTTAACTTACGGTGTGCAATAGAAGATCTCGGGTCACTTAAACCTGTTAAAGTTTGTAACATCAGGATAAAGGCCAATTACAATCGACTTTTGATCAGAAATGAGTATTTGATTAAATTATATTCAATTAGGTATTTGGATCATAACAGTTAAACCTATAACCCGAGCGCTTTCGAAAGGTTTTTATTAATTTCTGTCAAGACTTCTTGAACCTACGTGTATTTCTAACATCATGAATAGTTAAACCTACGTATTATAAAGTAACGGGGAAAAAAAGGCCAATTAAAAAGTATGAATAACAAAAAGCTATATCTTAAAAGGACCGTTTGGTCAAACTGAAGATTGAGTTAATTTATAATGAACGTGCCTAACTTTCAACTTATTTAAAGTTGTCAGAACAGGCGAGGTACTCACGCCAAATCTACCACTACAAGAACACAAACACTCTTCACCTTTGTAATTCTATTTGTGTTATATTGTTCTAATCACGAAGCCTAAAGTGTGTCATCGTCGCTTCCTGCCTTTTAAACCCTCAGCGCTCCCTGCGGGCAGGATATTACAATTGAATTGGGACCAACTAGTAATAATACTATTAAAAAACTTATTTTTAATAAGTGTTCGAAAAGTCACGTGAAATGCTAACTTCCACGGATTGGTAAATTAATACGAGAAATTTACTTTAAAAACGCTGCAAAACGTTACAACAGATAGTGTTATATTTGTCTAACACGAATATTAAGAGTCAGGCTAAGAAATAAAACTTGGCTTGCTTATTTGTATTATTAAATACATCATTCGTGTTAAACCTCTTGTTGTTCGCAACAGTTTTTAGCTGTTTAATTAATAATCAAGCATAAATTATGTCCGATTAAAAAAAGTTCCCTGTTGGAACAGCGGTAAATTTACGAACTTGCGATACTAAAATCCAGGGTTCGATTCCACGCAGTGGACACATCAGATAGACTAAAAAAAACTATACAAAATATTACAATTTAGGCTTAATTGTACCTTTCTTTGATTGAGCCTACGTTGATTTTATCCCATGAAATAGATAATGATAGTGATGTCTAATATAAAATACTGTAGTTTAGGCTTAAATGTAACTTACGTTTTATTTCTTTTCGTCTTCGTTGATTTTATCTTCTTTCATTCAAATAGATGATGATCCCGATGGCTGGTTGAAAACTGTCACTGCCAACTCTCTCTGTTATAGAGCTAGAGTGACCTGACAGCGAGATTGAGCAATTTCAACAAAAAGCTGAGACATCTTTAAGGAAAGAAACGCTTTCTCTCGGTCCAAACCATACGATGGGAACATCCTACCAAACTTCTTAATAAATATAGCCTGACCCTGGATGTGCAGCAATAGAGCCTCACGCGTGCTGAATAGAAGACGCGTAGTAGCAGCATAACCTCGCTGCAGGCGCACTCGCTGTTACGTTTTTCACGTGAGCGCATTGCAACCATATGATGACGTAAATTACAATTGCATTGGTATTAACAAGACGCGAAAAAGATACTGATTTTAAAACTGTGCAAAGTATAATAACATCCATTATAGCTGACTTCTCACCTCCGTGATACAGTAACTTAGATTACAGATACAAATTCATTTAAGTATTTAAAGGTATTCTAAACTCAGTAAAACTATTGTACGTCCTGTATTATTGTTTTAGGCAAGTATAAACAAAAGAGAGATTTGGTTGTTTCAGAATTTCACAAAAAAGCTGTTCTCATAATAGTTCTTTCTTTTGAATTGCTGAACTTGAAGGAAAACAGCTAGTCAACAGCACCCACCGCCAACTCTTCTGCTATTCTTGTCTGATCAAACAGTAGGATTTAACAGTCACTGTTATATTTCAGCCACACCCATTTTTGTAGTAACGGATCCCGAACCATGAATATTTTGATTCACGGTCCGGGCATGCTAACCATTAGGTCACGCCTAAAAAAAATCAGACTAAAATTAAGCATCATCCCTGTCAGTAGAAGATTTCAACATAACAAGGATATCAACCCGTATAACAATCATTCCACTCCATATAACAATGGTTTAACAGTTGACACACATAACAATGATTTAACAGTTGACACACATAACAATGATTTAACAGTTGACACACATAACAATGATTTAACAGTTGACACACATAACAATGATTTAACATTGACACACATAACAATGATTTAACAGTTGACACACATAACAATGATTTAACAGTTGGCACACATAACAATGATTTAACAGTTGGCACACATAACAATGATTTAACAGTTGGCACACGTTCCGTCTAATATAAAAACTATTTCATGTGACGTAATAACACAAGAAAAAAAAGAGGAAACGCATAAACTAAACAATAGAATAGAATAAAAAAACTTGCGATATTTAAGCGGGAGAAAAGTATAAATAATTGATTCAGACAAAACGAAGATATACATAAAAAATGTTTGCAATCTTTTTTCAATATATATATATTTCTTTTGATTAATTCGTTCATGTTTGTTTGTAACAGACTATGTTTACTATAAGCTTCTTTGTTTGTGGGTAAGTTTTCAGTTGAGTTCACAACTTCAAATGGTTTGCTATTTCGATTTGAAATTAATAATATACAAATATATATATACAGAGATATCCGTCTGTCTGTGTCCCCCGTTTGGATAGCGGTAACTTTACGAACTTACAATGCTAAAATCCGGGGTTTGATTCCCCCGCAGTGGACACAGCAGATAGCCCAATGTGACTTTACTTTAAAACAAACAAGCCGTCTATCTGTCTGACGTCTTGTCGTCACAAGCAGTTGTGTTTGCTTTTTTTAGCTATTTCGCCTCAGCTGGGAATCGAACCCCGGATTTTAGCGTTGCAAGTTCCGTAAGCTTACCGCTGATCCGTCGGGGGTCTCACAAGCTGTTGTGAAGAGCTGGCTGAACCAGTTTCGATGAAACTTGGTAGAGGACCCCATAAAGATGGGGTTTAAATGAATGAACGACCGCTGAAACGTTTCGAGTGAGGCAACAGACTAAATTACCACCTTTTCGATCTCCCGTATTCAGTAGACCTGCATGACGAATGATACACACGCACGCCGGCTCGCCATCTCCGAGGAGCCACTCCAGGCGCTAGTACATTTGACACTATATATATACTGACTTATGTATCCGTTCAACGCACAGGGAAGACATAAGGGGTTCAGATCCGAGAGGCTTCCCTTCCTCTATATCACTCCCCAGAGGGCCTAAGAGTGCGTCCTAGGTTTGGTGACAAAAGGTCCAGCGGTTCGCCTATAATGAGCGGTTTGTTTGTTTGAAGTTAAGCTACAGAATGGGCCATCTGTGCTCTGCCCACCAACGGTATCGAAACCCGGTTTCTAGCGTTGTAAGTCCGCTGTGCCACTGGAGGGCTATTATAAGCGGAGCCAGACTTTTGTTAGATATAAGGCGAGTGGGTAGCATACCAGCATGTGCTTTATCCTAGCAGCTGCAAAAGAAGACTACGACAACAAAAGCTGCATATGTCGCATTGCGCACTTCGTGTCGAAGCGCGGCAGGGCCAGAAATATGAAGACCCCGCGTTTCGCCCCCCCCCCTCAGAGTCCAACAATGAAACATAAAAACAGTCAAACATTTATTCAGACTTGCCAGCAAAAAACTGACCGTAAAGCTAAGATCAATGAAAGTCACAAAATAAACAAGAGGAAATCCTCAATAGCCGCGGTTGTAATTAGATTTCAAATCGGTCAAGAGGTAGAGCTATGAGCTAAAAGTTTGTACTTGAAAAAAAAAAAACTATATCATTCAATGAGCCACTATGCCGCGGCTGAAAACGACAACGTAGAAATATATATAGTGTGTCCCTATAAAACATTGTACTTTATGTACTATATCAAAATATCATACATCCTGGAAGAGAACAAAATAATCACTGCGTGTACTGTCTGTTTTTGTTTATTTTTTTCAATGAGTCGAACAGTCCCGAGTGATTCCGGTTGTATTCCGAGTGTTGTCGAGTGATTTTGAGTATATGAGGGTTATTATAAACTTTACAAAAATACAGGTGTTTCTATTTCAAATTGAATTTATATCGTTAAGTCTCAAAACCTTCGCTACTTTGTTCTAACTTTCTGTTTATAGTTTTACCAATAAACCATATAGACTGAGCCAGATTCGAACCCTTGTTCTAGTGTTTGTTTTAATCTAATAGATTGTTTGTTTGTTTTGGAAT